TATTTTTGAGAGAGACAAAGACAAAGCATGAGCAGGGGAGGGGCAGAGGGAGAGGGAGACACAGAATCTAAAGTAGGCTCCAGGCTCTGAGCTGTCAGCACAGAGCCCAACACAGGGCTCAAACCCACAAACTGAAAGATCATGACCTGAGCCAAAGTCAGACGCTCAACCGACTGAGCCACCCAGGTGCCCCACATCACATATATTTTTGAATAAACATCTGTTCACCAGCTTGATTAATTCCTTGGTTTTCAGACTCTACTAAATTAATGTCTGGCTATATTTCAAAATAACATGATCCTCAAGAGGCAAAGAGCAGTCACACCTGAGGCCCACGTACATGTATCCACTTCAGAGGCAGCTCAAAAAACTCTTGTACAAGCACAGTAAAACTAAACTAAGTACAGCTTTCCAGAATCCTCCCTTTAAGGGGAAAATGTTCAAACACACATTTAAGAAGCACTGAAGCATCTTATTGTGTGCACTTCCTTCTTACTGGACTCTCTACACTCTACATATAAGAACATTTCAAGAATTTAAAAACCCACTATTTAAGCTGTCTTTTGAATACAGTTAAAATGTGAATACAACAATCCAAATAGGCAAAACTCACCCTAAACTAAAACTATAGCACAAGAGAGTGGCTCAGCAGAGATTACCATACTCATGCCACACAGTGAAATTCAGTAATACCCAATACCCTACTTCACTAGCACAGAAATTCACAAGGGAAGGGATTTTTTTATTTGTTCATTGATGATCTCAAGCATCTAGAACAGTATCTGTCACATATGAGGTGTGGGGGGAAAATGTGAATGACTGTATTAGCAATAAACAAAGTCTTCACTTAAAATACTACACACAGGGGTGTCTGGGTAGCTCAGTTGGTTAAGCATCCAACTTTTGATCTCAGCTCAGGTCATGATCTCACTGTTCCTGAGATCGAGCCCCAGCACAAAGCCTGCTTGGGATTTTCTCGCTCTCTCTCTCTCTCTCTCTCTGTCTCTGCCTCTCCTTCTCCTCTGCTTCTGCTCTCTCTCTCAAAATAAGTAAATTTTAAAAAATTACATTCAATTTGCAAATGTCTCCAAGAGAAAAGGATGTTGAATAGTTTCCCACTAATCTGTGCATTCACCTAAGAATATAAAGCTAATACAATTTTGTTAATCAAATACTTAGGTGTTACAAACACATGGCAATGAGATGTAAATTATGGTGAAAAGAGGGCAAGGTAGCATGTATACATGACAGATATCCATGTTAGATGTTCAGGCCTCATCCATGGGGATGAGATGACAGGCACTTAGCACCCTAGGAGTGGCAGGAGAGACAAGATAAATCACCTGCAGAACCCAGACACCACAGGCTAGCTCTAAAGGTGAGGATGAGAAGACTGACACACATGATTTAGGTTTTGTGTTTAATGTAACTTGGAAAGCTATGATGCAGACAACCTGATCCAAACATCTTCAAATGTGTATTAACAGACTACCACGTAGCTTGCTGATGCTGATTATTAAGATCAATGCCCTTTTTTTGAATTCTATGACATAGTTTGACTTTCTATATCCTTTTTATAGGGAAAAGATGTGTGACCAACTTGCAGAAATAGTCTTGTTTGCTTGCCAGATATATTTCTCATTGTAAATTTGCATGCTGGCTAATTATAACAGCTTGAAAGTTACATAAATGTCCAACAATAGGGAATCAGTTAAGAATAAAATTCATTATAGTGCATATATATATATAAGACTACACAGCCATTAAAAAACATGATGTAAAAGTAGAGATTGCCATGGGAAAATGTCCACAAATAGAGGACATTTAGAAAATCAGGTTACAAAACAGATGTATCAAATAATCCTGGCTATGTTTAAAAAACTAAATAGGAGAGAAAAAAAGCTGGCAGAACCCTACTAAGCATGGGGTTGTGTCTCAGGGTACAGCTAAAGACGCCTTGTTTTATACTGTAATTTTGTAAATTTAGGTCTCATTTTTCTGCATTTTCCAAACTTTCTATAATGAAAAATAATTGCTTCTATAATCAGAAAACAAGCAGCAATAATTTTGTTTTTCAATTTTCATTCAGATGACCTTAGGCAAGTTAATCAACCTCTCTTTACCTATAAAAATGGGGATAAAAGGACTCCTGCCTTTAGGTTACCAGGACATGTAAATGCTTACAACAATCCCTGGCAAGTGGGAGTTGCTCAGTAAAGGTTAGCTATTAGCTCTGAAATTCTTTCGAGTATGCATGTGTACTGGAGGGCCAGGCCTGTCTCACGGGTAGGGTAGAGCCAGCCTGAGAAGCCAGCAGGCCTCTCCATCTAATTCCACAACAACTAACAAAGGTAGAAAGGGAAATTTAGGGCTGAGTTCACAAATTCCCAAGTCTTTAGACACCAGGGAAAAAAAGTAAATGTGAGTGAAGCAGCTGGGAGGCTGACAAGGAGCAGGGTGCTATGGCTCTGCAGAAGTGGCAGCGGGAGGGGGGATGCTCCTCAGAAGTACCTCAATTTGGCCTATTTTATTAATCTCTATAGCCAACATGAGGCTCGAACTTACAACCCTGAGACAAAGAACTGCATGCTCCTCCGACTGAGCCGGCCAGGAGCCCCATTCCACTTATTTTAAAAGCCTGCAGGGGTGCCTGACTGGCTCAGTCAGTTGAGCGTCTGATTCTAGATTTTGGCTCAGGTCATGACATCCTGGTTTGTGAGTTCAAACCTCACATGGAGCCCCTTGGGATTCTCTCTGCCTCTCCCCACTCCCATGTTCTTTCTCTCCCTCAAAAGAAATAAACTTAAAATTAATTTTTTTTTTTTTAATTTTTTTTTTTCAACGTTTATTTATTTTTGGGACAGAGAGAGACAGAGCATGAACGGGGGAGGGGCAGAGAGAGAGGGAGACACAGAATGTGAAACAGGCTCCAGGCTCTGAGCCATCAGCCCAGAGCCCGATGCGGGGCTCGAACTCACGGACCGCGAGATCGTGACCTGGCTGAAGTCAGACGCTTAACCGACTGTGCCACCCAGGCGCCCCTAAAATTAATTTTTAAATAATAAATAAATAGCCTGCACTGGCCTAACAGCCCCCATCTACCCTGTAGCTGCCCTGATTTGTGCATTAAAGTATCCACAGAAAAGACCAATTTAAAGTGATAGGAATTTACAGGTTGTTGTACAGGCCATCCCAGTCAATGCTCCTCTTTCTTCAGGGTGTTCACAACTGGGTTTCAAGTTATTTGTCAGTGTTCCCTCAGGTAGGATGTTGTTAAAACACCAGCAATGAACAGGTTTGTTTGTTTAAGTAGGCTCCATGCACAACACAGGGCTTGAACTCCTGAACCCAAAATCAAGTCACATGCTCTACCAGCCAGGCACCTCAACAATGAACAGTTTCTATGCTCACGTGTCAGTTGCTGTTATCAATGATGGAAACCAACTGCATGACCAACCTGTGGTAAGAAAGGGATTCCAGGGTTGGGGGCGTCTGGCTGGCTCAGTTGGTGGCGCGTGCAACTCTGATCTTGAAATTTTGAGAGGTCCACGCTGGGTGTAGAGAGATTCCTTTAAAAAAAAAAAAAAAAAAAAATCTTAAAAAAAGAAAAAGAAAGGGATTCCAGGGTTACACAGTTGAGGGGTCCCGTAGGTAAGTTAGTCTGACTGCTTCCAGTCCAAATGACCAGGGAGGGAATTCAGAGAGTAGGAACTAATACTGGACCAAATGTAATCTGTCCTAGAATTTCAGGGACCATACGATTTATTGTCACAATGGGGATACTTCTTACTTCTGAGACTGGAAAGGAATGCTATTAATAATTCCACCAGAGGGGTGCCTGGGTAGCTCAGTCGGTTAAGCGTCCAACTTAAGGTCAGGTCATGATCTCACGGTTTGTGGATTTGAGCCCTGCGTGGGATTCTGGGCTGACAGCTCAGGGCCTGCTTTGGATTGTGCCTCCCTCTCTCTCTCTCTCTGTGCCCCTCCCTGTCTGATGTACTCTCTCTCTCAAGAATAATAAATATACTTTAAAAATAATAATTACACCAGAGGGCGCCTGGGTAGCTCAGTCAGTTGACTTGATTTTGACTCAGTTCTTGGGATCCATGTCAGGCTCCATGCTGAGAGTAAAGCCTGCTTAAGACTCACTCTCTCTCCCTCTGCCCCTCTCCCCTGCTGGTGTTCTTTCTCTGTTAAAAAAGCAGGAGGGGGAAGAGGGCTGGCACCTGGGTGGCTCAGTCGACTATTGACTTCAGCTCAGATCATGATTTTATAGTTTGTGAGATCAAGCACTGTGTTGGGCTCTGCACTGACAGAGCTTCTCTCTTTCCCTCTCTCCTGCCCCTTCATTGCTCGCGTGCTCTCTCTCTTCAAATAAATAAACATTAAAAAAAAAAAAATTGGAGCAGGACATTGGGTCTTGACTAGAATTGTCTCAAACAAATTGGGACATATGGCTACCCAATTAAAATCAGTGTTCCCTAAGGCCTAGGGTAAATTCCAGCTCTTCACTTGAAAACTATCTACTTTTTTTTTTTTAATGTTCATTTATTTTTGAGAGAGAGACAGATAGAGGGCGAGCTGGGGAGGGGCAGAGAGAGAGAGGGAGACACAGAATCCAAAGCAGGCTCCAGGATGAGCTGTCAGCACAGAGATGGGGCTCAAATTCACGAACCACAAGATCATGACCCAAGCCCAAGTCAGATGCTTAACCCTGAGCCACCCAGGTGGCTCCACTCTCTTCAAACCACTGTGTACTAGTAAATAACCCAGTAGACTTATTTAAAGGGTTTACTACCCACAGAGGTTTGGGATCTGCCTTTCTGGAATGCTTGGATTGAAAGCCAAGAGTCTCTACAGCCAGAATGAGGACCCTGGGTCCCAGAGTTGATATACTGAAAAGCATTTCAGAAGGCAGTAGTGATTAGTTGATCTCTCAGTTACTGGTCCCTCCCTAGATCCCTGACACCACATCAGCCTCAGGGAGGAGAGACTAAGAGGACTACTCTGAGCAGCAGCTCCACATGAACACAGCAGGGTCAGGAGCTGTCCCACCAGCCACCCTGTTCCCTTTTCCTCTAGGGGTTATAGGTCGGCCACTGGCTCAGAAGCCACCAGTGCAGTAGTGACAGGAGACCATGATTACAGTCCCAAGACCATGTCCATGGTTGAGACCAGCTAGGACTTGTACTTCATGTGCGTTCTACCTAACAACTATCTTCCAGATTCTACTGGAAAACAGGACTACATTACATTCCCATAGTCTGTTTGATAATTATCCTATTCAGCTCTTTTCCTTTCTACGTTGTGAATTTTTAGCTTCTCAAGTTTGCTTTCCCTCCTCCTTTACTAATTAACAGAATTCCAAGTCTGGCTTTGAAACTACAGACCTTCCCACCTACTGGTGAAAAAAGTCTCAGCTAGATCAAAGGAAAAAATATTTCTCTGTTCTCCTACAGCTGCAGAAAAGCACGTACTATTCAATGTCACAAAAGTGTTCTTGTTAAGGTTGTTTTTAAGGAGTCCTTCAAGACTCTTGGACTTCAGAGATTGCTACCACATCCTGGGAAAGTAGTCTTTAACTTTTAAAGTCTATAATTCTGACGGACTTACTTAATTTGTAGTCTTGGTAGCACTATTTAAATAGATATGCTAGGTTTTTTGGCTCACTCATGACCACAAAGTGTGTGATTTTTCATTCCTAAATCAGGAGAGGATCATTATTAGCAACCTTCTCTACTCATAAGAGCATGGAAATAAAAATGAACAACAATGGCTTTATTGGATTTCGGTGTTTTGGTTTTTTTTTTTTTAATGTTTGTTTATTTTGAGAGAGAGCGGATGAGCTGGGGAGAGGCAGAAAGAAAGAGAAAGGGAGAGAATCTCAAGCAGTCTCCATGCTCAGCACGGACAAACCATGAGATCACGACCTGAGCTGAAATCGAGTGGAACACCTAACTGACTGAGCCACTCAGGCATCCCTTATTGGATTTCATTTTCAAATAGAATTTGACAATCAAATGTTTGAATTAATTTTATCAGCAATAAACCTCCAACTACTTAAATGTCTGGTGGTTGAAGTTACTCTTTTTGCCCTTAGCAAATCTCTAAGAGGAGTGACCCCAGCTGTCTGGATCGGAGGGAGTACATCAATCCTATACTAGGGCCAGGGCTCACTCACTCAGCAACCAGGAGAGTAGAACAGGAATGGGCTCCCGGCCCTCCAAGCAACTAGGAAAGGTCTTCATCTTCTAGAGGCAAAATGGTCTGTCCTGTCAGCATAACTTTCCAGTCCTCTTCCTATTCCCTGGGATGAGAGGTCCCTATGATTTCACTAAGGGGACAGAGGGGAGAAAGCAGGGTTGGAGGTCCCATTGCCCATCACCCAGACACCTTTTCTCAGTCCAACCTCAGAAGAGGGGCAACTGGATTCAGACTGGAACTTATTTGAACATGAGGGTTCTGAGAATTTGAGGGGATCCAGATCCAAAGTCCTGTTCTCTACTCAGCTCCATTTCCAAGCAAACATGAAGATGCAGATTCTAAATAGGACACATAAAAACTGTAAATGCTAGGGGTGCCCGGCCAGCTCAGTCAGAAGAGCATGTGACTCTTGATCTCGGGGTTGCGAGTTCGAGCCCCGCTTTGGGTATAGAGATTACTTAAAAAATAAAAAAATGATTAATTAATAACATAGGAAAAAAAAAAAAAAACACCTGCAAATGTTACTACACTCTGCTCACTTAGAAATCCTAAGTCCACGGGGAACTGAGGAAGGTGGAAAGGAATCCACCTTAAGCCTTCCTTCACAGTACCTCTGAACCAGAGTTCAGACCTGGGAGAAAAGGCTGCATAACATTGGTAATAGTAAAATAAACCAAAAATAAATAAGCAAGATAAAGTAAGACAAAATAAAATTAAATTTAAAAATAAATAAATAAATTAATTAATTAAATAAAATAAGGGGGTGCCTGGGTGGTTCAGTTAGTTAAACGTTAAACTTCAGCTCAGGTCATGATCTCACAGTTCATGAGTTGGTTCCTGAGTTGGAGACCCACATCAGGCTCTGTACTGACAGGGCAGAGACTGCTTCGGAACCTCTGTCTCCCTATCTCTCTGTCCCTCTCCCACTCTCGTTCCCTCTCTCTCTTAAAAAAAAATTTAGAAAAAAATTAAATTAAAAAAATAAAATAAACCAGGAGAGAACTTACTAGAATGAATCTATATTCTTAACAAAAGAATTCAAAAGCCTTTAGAATTACTATGTAACAGGTACAAGTTGCAGGCAGAGCAGGACAGGGGCTCCTAAGGCCTTCCTGCACTCACCACACTATGGTTCTTTACCCAGCCCAGATACACAACACCTCCCCACTTTCCAAATGGCTTATCACTTCAGTTTTATAGACTGAAAATCCTATTCACAGGCAAGGGAAAAGAGTCAGCATGTTAAGGTATCAGGATATCAGGGCAATTCTCTGCTGATGAGCCCTCTAATTTCATGGCTGCAGTCAAGCTAACTGTCCTCCTCTGTTCCTGCCTCTTGGCTCCTTCCCACTGGCTCTAGATATTCCATTTGATTCCTTCTTTCCTCTCTTCTCATGACCAACTGTAGACTTTCCAGCTTTCCACTATCTTGCTGTCCACTCTAACCTAAAAAAAAAGCTTAGATAAAGGTTTTTCTGCTAAAAACCACAGAAATACGGAGAACCGGCAGTTAAAGCCTGGTCTGTGTTTCTGGTTTTCCTTTTTAGGTGATATTCTGGGAATCCCTTTTTCTTTTTTAAAATTTTTTTTTTCAACGTTTATTTATTTTTTTGAGACAGAGAGAGACAGAGCATGAACGGGGGAGGGGCAGAGAGAGAGGGAGACACAGAATCGGAAACAGGCTCCAGGCTCTGAGCCATCAGCCCAGAGCCTGACGCGGGGCTCGAACTCACGGACGGCGAGATCGTGACCTGGCTGAAGTCGGACGCTTAACCGACTTCACCACCCAGGCGCCCCTTTTCTTTTCTTTTTAATATTTTAATTTTTGAGAGAGAGAAAGCTTGGGGGAAGGGCAGAGAGAGAGGGGACAGAGGATCTGAAGCAGGCTCTACACTGAAAGCAGAGAGCCCAATGCGGGGCTTGAACTCACAAGCTGTGAGATCATGACTTGAGCCAAAGTCAGATGCTTAACCAACTGAGCCATCCAGGCACCCCTGGGAATCTCTTTCCTACCACACTTTCATTATCAAGGGTGGATTTCAACTCCATCCCATTCATACATACTTTCTCCAACACTTATACTGGGGGCCTCCTTTTTGAACTACAAAATATGGGGGGCTGGCAAACTCCAGATTGGAGTCTTCCACCTTAATGCCCCCCCCCCATTTAATATAATTAAATCATTCTGATACAGGATTATAATGACAAAAGGAACTAGACTCATTTCACATATTTGGGGGAAGCTGGAGGAATATGCTCTCTCCGACAGACAGAACCTACTCTGAGGTGTGGATGGGCCCAGTGGGCAATTCCTTTTTGTGTGTCTGGGATGGAAAGATGACAGTGGCAGTGGGCATTCACCCTAGATACCTACCAGTCAGTCCCAGGCCTAAGATCCTGCTGTGGGAATGCTTACACAGAACTCCAGGCAGGAGAAAGGCAAGAACTGAGAACACTTAGAAAACTGCGCATTGTTAATGAATCTTGGGGTCCGGAGTTTCAGCCCCACATGGGGGGGTAGATTTTACTTAAGACAAGAAAAGAAAGAGAGAGAGAGAGGAGAGAAAAGAAAAGACAGAAAGAAAAAGGAATCTCTTGCCTCAAGGCCCAGCAGCACGTCAAGGCTCTCTCTGTCAAAAACACTGGGAATTAGGACCTGTACAGCTCCATCCAACAACACTTGCATCAAAAGAGGGCTTGGCATACCAATAAGGGACATTTCAAGCCAAGTCACACGCAAATTCCAAGCCTTTCGTCGGGCATAAACATAAATACTATAAATTAGAAATAAATAAATATTGACTAAAACAAAAACCAAAAACAGAAGAAGTTTGAGCTCAGCTATTCGGAAGGTCTGAAGCTCTGGAGGCTCCCCAGACCCTGAAGCGTTCCACCACACACGAGCGGGGAAATGTGGAGAAAGACGGAGCCACAGTTAGTGAGAAAACTGCAGTTAAGCCTTCCAGTCAGACCAGTCGGGTCACAGGAAAGTCCTTACTCAGCGCGCTGGTGTTTCCCTTAATTCTTCAGCATCAGTCCGTGTAAAGAGCCTTCTGGGTGCAGTCCAGGCGATTCCACTCTTCGTTTCCGAAGCCCACGTCCACATCATCGAAGGTCACCGGCCCCTGCAACAGGAGGTTTGTGCACTATGGTCCGGGGTCATCCCAGCACCTGCTCCTCGAAGGAGAAGCAGGGCTGGGAACTTGAGGAGCGGGGGAGAGACGCGCGGAGAAGACGCGGTAGGGGGGCACCGAGAGTTGGGCAGGGGCAGGGGGAGAGACAATGCCGAAGTGGACCCCCGCGAGGGGGCTCGGGACCTGCACCGACTCACCTTAGGCGCTGGGGATAACAGAAAAGTAAAGTACACGCCATCCGCCCTCAGCAACAAGCTTCCGCCCTCAGCAACAAGCTTCCGCCCCACACTCAGTAGAGCAGCAAAACTCCGCGCGCCCAGCCCACCACGCGTCCGCCTGAGCCTCGGGCCCCGCCCCTAGGCAACTTCGTGCCCTCTCTAGGCTGCGCGGAGGACCTTGCGTCTCGGTGGGCCGCTCCGTAGCTCGCTTGGGGAGCGCCGGTCCCGGGTTGGACCGGAAACATGGCGACCCGGGCCTCGGCGATTCTGCGAGGCTTGGTCCCCTCACTCTTCACGTTTCACGCGAATCATCTTTTTTTTTTTTTAACTTTTTATTTATTTATTTATTTTTCGATGTTTATTTATTTTTGAGAGAGAGAGGGAGAGGGAGACACGGAAGCCAAAGCGGGCTCCAGGCTCCGGTCTCTGGAGTTGTCAGCACAGAACCAGATGCAGGGCTCCGACCCAGAAACCGTGAGACCATTACCTGGGGCGAAGTTGGCCGCTTAAGGGACTGAGGCACCCAGCCGCCCTGCGAATCATCTTTAAAACTGCTTTTCCCCATTGTATTTCCTAGTGGACCACTAAAGAGGAAAAAAAAAAAAAAGGCAGTGTCACCCCTAATATAAGGAAATGACCACTGTTACCATTTTAGAGACTTTTACTCCTATAATTTTCTACATATAGTTTAATATTTTTGTGTTTTTGTCATCTCCAATTTTCCTACTTGATTTTGTCACGTTAAGCGCTCGCCCCTCCTTCCCACACTGTGATACCCGTTGTAATACTACGTTGACTGGATTATCATCGCTTATTTATTCATTCTGTATCAAATCACCCACACTGAGCCCAGGAATACCAGCCTTCCACTGAATAGCACCACCGAAGTGGGTCTCAGCCGGTCCTTAGGGAAGTGCTGTGAAGCTTGTTACCGTTTTCACCCCAGGGACGGTGCTCTTGTTACACAGTCCCTCTCTATAATCACTCAAAGGAGGACATTTTTATGATCTTGGTATCAAGAATAGAGCAACGGGTTAGTTTTGGCCTATGGACCCAGGGAGTTTTGAATTTGAGTTGAGCTGGTTGTTAGAAAGCTAACAGCAAATCTTACCAAAGGATTAAGGGGACCAATAAATGCAAAGGTGACTTTCTACTCAAATCTGTTTATTCTCAGAATGCAGCCTGCTTCCCTGTTTCTAGAGATAACATTCTTGCCTGGCCTAACAATAAGAAAATGTTGGTTTCCTTATTTTGCAGAATCAAGGTTTCAGTAGAAACCAGCCAGAACCGGTTAAGACAGCCAGCCTTCTCTTTGAGCATGCACCTGTGTCTGACGGATGAATATTTGATACAGAAGGGTCTAAAACCCCACCCTCGAATCATACCAAGGAGGCCATTCTCTGATCATAGAAGAGGCATACAGAAGATATGTGAAGGTACAGCCAATGAAATCACTTCAATCCTTCCCTTACTTAATAATTACCTTTAACTGATTTTGAAATCATGTAGCTCCTTTTCCCTATACCCAGATCCTTTTTCATTTACCTTTAAATATCCCTGACTCTCCCCCTTTGAGAAGAGGAATTTGAGGATTGCCCTCCCTTCTCCTTTGGTTTCCTCTTTTCTTTTCTTTTCTTTTCTTTTCTTTTCTTTTCTTTTCTTTTCTTCTTCTTCCTCTCTTCCTCCTCCTCCTCCTCCTCCTTCTCCTTCTTCTCCTCCTTCTTCCCTCCCCCTCCTCCTCCAACTCCTCCTTCTTTTTCTTCAAGTAAGCTGGATGCCTAACCAGGGGCTGGAACACACGATCCTAAGATCAAGAGTTACAAGCCTCCAGCTCATCCTGAATAAACTACCACTCACTTGCATACTTGATGTGTGGTCTCAGTTGATTGGCTCTGCTGCACATTGGTCCTACGAACCTGGGTTTGGTCACAAATTTGGTGAGCCAGCCAGGAACTCTTTGACCTTGGTTCAGTGGCCCCAGCTATTAATGGGAGTCTGGTGGTGAGTCTAAGCAGCTGCCTAGGCTCTTTGTCCTAGAGACCTTACTCTGGGGGCCCCACCCCACTTCAGCTCCACTGACCTTCAGGTGCTTGAGCCCTCTTGTAGCCAGAAACAGCTTTTGGTTTCAGTATGGACAGATATCTCTTTGGTGAGTAACCTCAGTACAAGTGACTAAATTCTTATTTCTTCCTCCCATTTGGTGGCCTCCAAATAAGGGGTTTTAGTTTGGCTCTCATAGCCTTTTTTTTGTTGCTTGATTAAGAAAAGGTTGACTGGGGGGGGGGGGGGGGGGGGGGGGCAGAGGGGTGGGATGCCTGGGTGGCTCAATGTGGTTAAGTGTCCAAGTCTTGATTTGGGCTCAGGTCACTCAGGTACCATGGATGAATGGTCATGAGATTGAGCCCTGTGTTGGGCTCTATACTTGATGTGGAGCCTGCTTAAGATCTCTCTCTCTCTCTCTCTCTCTCTCTCTCTCTCTCTCTCTCCCTCTGCTCCTCCCCCCCCCCAAAAAAAACAAAAACAAAAACAAGTGGAAAAGAAAAGATAGGCTAGGAAGCCATTTGATTCAGTTGGTGAAGCCCTGACTTTTAGAGTGGAACTAGAGAACCTTTGTTCACAGAGGTACTCTTGGCTTCATTTGGCTCATTTGTTGCTGCAGCTTTTGGTATCTTTGCATTAAACTGGCTGTGTTCTAATTGGAAAATAAGAAATGACAATTTGATCCCTGCATGCAGCCCTTTGGGCTATATTCTCCAAAATTGGACAATGTTTAGTTATGAATCTATGAAAAGGAAAAAGATGATCTTTTGCAACAATGCTTGGCCACAATATTCATTAGACTCTGGAAAAAAAAATAGCCAATTAATGGATCCCCAAAGTGTAATACCATCTTGCAATTAGATTTGCTTTGTAAAAGGAAAGGTAAGTCTTTTTTTTGCTTTTGTATCAAAATAAGCCAGCTCAGAGAAGATGTAAAATTCTACTCCAACAAACCAGTGACAATAAAAAGACTGTGTTGCCTGATCCTCACCAGGGAGAGGAGGATGATTTATTGATTACTTTAATTAAACTCCTGTACAGCTCTTCCACCCTATGGGGGCACTGGAGCTACTGTCCCTTCTCAGCAGCCCCAGTCCCAACAGCCTGAGCCCCTACAGGGCCCTAAACCAGGACCCTCAGCCTTAGGGGGTCAACAGGTAGGAATGGTCTCCCCTTCTCATACCCTGACTCAATTTGTTCAGGGAGGCACTCGTTCCCAGGGAAGACAAAATCTGCTAAGGCAAGTCCCAATTGGAGGCTTAGATGCGGTGGGGATAACCTATAGGAATGATTTGGGTCCACTCTTCACTTGAAATTGTTTTTAATGTTTCTTTATTTGTTTTGAGAAAGAGAGAGAGAGAGGGAGAGCACAAAGAGAGGGACAGAGAGAAAGGGAAACAGAGAATCCCAAGGAGGCTCCGAGCTTTCAGCACAGAGCCCGACACAGGGCTCGAACTCACGAACCATGAGATGATGACCTGAGCTGAAATCAAGTGTCGGACACTTAACTGACTGAGCTACCCAGGCACCCCTGAATTTGTTTAATTGGAAAAACAGCATGCCTACTTACAGAGATGACCCCAAGAGGATGGAAAATCTGTTCCCATCTATTTTTGTCACCCACAACCCCACTTGGACAGGTGTACTAAATTTGTTAAATATTCCCTCATTTCTGAGGAATGCCACATGATGCTAGGAAAGGCTAGGGAAGAAGTTAACTGGCTACATGCTAAAACTCTAATAACTTCCTAAGAGCTAATGCCATACTGCCCACTCCTACTGTGGATCCCAACTGGAACATCAAGGTGGAGACTGAGGTAAGCTTGAACACTATCACGGTGATATTTTAGGTGGATTAAGAAAAGGGGTCCCTACTCTGTGCAAAAGTTTTTTTTAATTTTGCTGTAGTCCCAATAGTTTAATTTTACTTTTGTTTCCCTTGCCCGAGGAAAACATATCTAGAAAAATGTTTCTATGTCTGACGTCAAAGAAATTACTGCCTCTGTTTTCTTCATGTCTTATGGTTTCAGGTGTCACATTTAGGTCTTCAATCCATTTTGAGTTGTTTTTGTACAGTATAAGAAAGTGGGGGCACCTGGCTGGCTCAGTCGGTGGAGCATGTGACTCTTGATCTCGTGGGGAGTTCAAGCCCCACGTTGGGTGTAGAGATTACTTAAAAGTAAAATCTTAAAAAAAAAAAAAAAAAAAGAGGGGTGCCTGGGTGGCTCAGTCAGTTAAGCATCCAACTCCTAATTTTGGCTCAGGTTATGATCTCACAATCGTAGGATCAAGCCCTGTGTCGGGCTCTGTGCTGACAACCCACAACCTACTTAGAATTCTCTCTCCCTCCCTTTCTCTCTCTCTCTCTCTCTCTCTCTCTGTCTGCCCCTCCCCAGTTCATTCTTTCTCTCTCTCTCTCTCTCTCTCTCAAAATAAATAAATTAAAAAAAAAAAAAGGAAGAAAGCATAAATGGAATGAGGACCCTTCAGACTTTCTTGAAAGAATTTTTGAGACCCTGGGTCAGCATAGCCATGGTGGCTGTGTCCTTTCCACTTGTGTCCGCCGACTGCCTGTGGCCTTTGTGCCGCTGCCCCGGGTCCCCATGCTGGCCGCAGTCCGGCCGCTCAGCAACACCCTGTACCCGCGGGGGCCCAGGGGAGGCCTAGGTTTCCGCGTCCTGCCTTGATGCCCTGCCTCAGTGCTCACACAGGTTCCAATAACACAGTTGTGCCGCCAGTATAGTGATGCGCCCACTTTGACACTAGAGGGAAATTGAGGACCGTGTTCTTTACATCTGAAACTCTATGACAAGATCGACCCTGAAAAGCTCTCGGTAAATTCCCACTTTATGAAAGACCTGGCCTTAGACAGTTTGGACCAAGTGGAGATTATCATGGCCATGGAGAACGAATTTGGGTTTGAAATCCCTGATACAGATGCTGAGAAGTTAATGTGTCCACAAGAAATCGTAGATTACATTGCAGATGAGAAGGATGTTTATGAATAAAATATC